TACTTTGTGTGAGGAAATTTGCAGAAATGGTGCCACTTGCTTCTCTCCAGCAAGGTAAACCTTTAACCACACCTGACTGTGGGCATTTGCCTGAATTTGAACCAGTCTCAGCCATGAACAGCACCTGGATGACTCTCTCTAGGCTGGGAGGCTAAGCAGGGTCAGATCAGGTTTGACCAGGTCAGGACACCACCTGGAAGCCCTGGGCACCAGAAAACCTCTCCCATACATACTTTCTGAGGGAATTGTAGGGACGCGTCTGTGAGGAAACGAGTTTGACTTTAAGGAGGCTTACTTGTGATGTTCTGCTACAGCTTTCTCCTCCAGCTAAAACAATCTCAGGCAAAAAGGAAATCAGGTCCCCCCCCTCCTCTTGAAGCAGTGAGAAGACAAGAGACAATTCTACCCACTAGACATAACTGGAGGCTCCCTGATCATCATGGCCCCCAAATGTCATCATGGCACTCCAAAAGTCATCATCAAAAGGCAATGTTTAATGTAACCCAAAGAGAAAGCTATTAAACACATGGTTGGAGAGTAATCCTATTAAAAATGTTTCACTTTAATTATGTTCTTGAAAGGAGCTCTACATCTTGCCCTGGCTCCACTCATATTTTGGAGTGCCACTCAAAAGACATAGCTTGGGAAAAACCGTGCCTCCTTTCCTGGGAGTCAGACGATGGGACTGACTTCTGAGTAGACCTGCCAAGCAGGGGCTGCCAAAGGTTTCCTTCGTCTGTCCATCTAAAAGCCCCGGTTTAGGCTCTGGCAAATCTCTTTGCTCTTCCTAGGAGCACGAGGCAGGGTTGGATGTCAACGACACGGGAAGGGGAGATGTCTATAGAAGGACTAACATCTAAGGCCCAGCATAGCTGCTCCATCGGTTCTCTGCTCAGAGGGAGCTGTAAGATCCCAGAACAACGTGTAAGCCTTGTTTACTGTTCTCCAGAGAACAAGGAAACAGTGACAGCAGCCTTTCATAAGCCATGTGGTGCTTCTAGTGTTTCATTGCCCGTCGCCTTGCACAGATTTTACAACTGAACCTTCCTGTTCCAAATCGAACCAGCGCAGTGCACTTCACCCACCCGAAACCCGTTTGAAGTTGTGCTGCTATTTCAGTCCAAAAGCACAGAAGAGGGTAATGTGCACGCACACTTCAGGAACTCTAAATCTGGCCACAGAGAACTCTGGCCTAGTCATCTAGTAGAGGACAGCTGCTCAACCCAGCTAAGCAGATTTAGTGTGAAAGCTCAGCCTTCCCCTACGTTACCACCTTCCAGATATGGTCAGATCCCATCCTTCTGGCTAGTGCTGGAAGCCATAACCAGGCAGATCCGAAGAAAGCCAAATCGGAGACGGATGGCACAGTCACTGCCAATCCATATGGAGTCTGCCTCTGCAACTCTGCCTCTCCAAACTTATTATTCCTGCTGCGAGTTTTCTGGGTGTAAATTCCTTGCAGCAAGACTTGAGCTGGAAATTAACTTTCTGAAAGCAGGCAAAGTTTAATCAGACCGCCGTGACTTGGGTTCCAGGGTTGAGACAATCATTTAGGAAGACAAACTTGGCAGCTCCCTCTCCTGCTCATATGGTTTCTTTTCAGCTTCTACCTCCTGAGGCTGAGGTTGTCTACGATTAGTGGATGAGCCTTCCTACGCAGGTTGGACTCAACAAGTTATCCATGCCGTGGTCACAACCACTCTTGACTACTGTAATGTGCTTTACCTGGGGTTATCCTTGAAAAGTGTACAGAAATCACAAAAAGTGTGAAACGGAGCAGGACGGCTGCTGCACCAGTGCTAAAGGGATCCCAGAGAGATCCACACTGGTGCCACCTGCCTATTGGAAGGTGCAGTTGTTCATTTTTAAAGCCCTGAGTGGCCGAGATGATTACTCTCTAAGGGTCCTTCTAACCTCTGTGTTCTAGGACTGCATGATGTACATGACCCATTAGGTCAACAGAAGAGGCTCACTGTGGACCTAGTGGGTCAGAAGATCACTCATCCAATATGCGGGAGAGGGCCTTCTCTTGCATGAGCCACACAAGATGGGAGGCTCCCCCCAAGGAGGTGACTTCAACTCCCCCTCCCACGGTTTAGGAGAACGGGCAAAGCCCATCTCTTCTAATAGTCCTCTGTTAATTGATTTTAAAAACACTGATTTTAATTTTAATTTAAATGTATTGAATTTAAATGTACTGATATGTTTTATATTTTGTTTTTCTTATTGCAAGTCACTTTGAGTGCTTATATAAGCAGGAAGCTAAGTATAAATGTAATAATAAAATATCAATGAATTCCAGGGATGAGGAAGCGCCAATTCATTAACCGCAGGCAGTTTAACAGATATTTTTCTACTATGGCAGCAGAGCGATTCTCTGAACCCCCATCTTGGCTCTTCCTGCGGTTCTCAAAGCGGTGCCCACAATTACCCTTCTTGGTTGGTTCCTTAAATGGTTTTAGATAAAGGTAATTAAAAGCAAAGGAAATGGATAAAAGGCATCCTGCCAAGTGCCAGCCTTCGGTATCACCTCTGGGCACTGGAGACAGTCTAATGAAAAGGCCAAACGCCGGCCAGCCACAGCCTTGCTTGCAAGTAGGCCCGCTGGCCAAGAAGGAGGAGGTAGCATCTCACCTGTGTGCAGCTCAGGAAGGAGTGTTTGGTGGCTGGCCCCTTTTGTGAAAGCAACCCTCATCTTGGCAGTCATCTACGAGATAGCCCACAATACCCTTCCCAAATTCCAAGCGCACCCTGCCCACTCCCCAAAATTGGGACTCCTATTCCATAAACAGCTACGTTTGCCAGCGTATGCCAAATCCCACAGCTAAAACAAGGAAACAAGAATGAAGCCAAGGTCATCCAGCCTGCCCACACTCACTGGGTTTTCGAAATGTAGGCTGTTCAAAAGCTGCCTGGTCTATTTCTCCCAGGTGGGATTTCGGTTGTACTTCTTACCTGAGAACATGAGGAGATGTCTTTGAAGTTCTTCTCCAACACAACTGATTTAGTATCTGGACTGATGAGGTTAATTTCAAACCGACCAACCTTGGAAGAGAAAACAACATGTCAAAGCAGGAGGCGATTCAGAATATCTTGGATGAGCTGCTCCTAAAGCTGAGGGCCCAGAACCTGAATATTTCCTCATGCAGCTTACTGAAGGCATGTAAAAGGGAAGCTTCCCAAACTGATGTTCTGCCAAGAATAAGGCGGGATGTGCTGCCAATCTGACTAACCCTACCCAGAAAGAGAAAGGCTGCAGATCTGCTTTCCAGCCCCTGGCTTCGGTTTCACAGAGATCAAACGCTGTATCGAGTTCTTCCACGCTGCTTCCATTTTGTCTTGGCTCCCACCTCAGCTAGTCATTTCTGGCAAAAGCAGTTGGTACCAACTCCTGCCCTTCACTGAAATACAAAATGGTCAGCCAACCTGGTTCTTAAACACTCCTCGCTGGGGGACTCTTCAGAGCGTAAAAGCCCCTTTTCCTAATTCCTTATGTGGTCAGGGCAGCCATTCCACTCATCCGTTGACCACAGATCAGGAACGGAGGCCAAGGGCTGCCTTTCCACCAAACGCCAAGGCTGGGCTGTAAAAACGCAAGTCCGACCCCCCACCCCACCCCACCCCACCCCACCCCACTCCTTTTGTTCCTCTGCATCCTTGTGTTTACCTCACAATGGTCCCAGACTAGAAATGATCTCTGAGAACGTTCTGGCCTCCATGTTGCCCAGAGGTCTTCCTCAAGACTTCTAGCTTGGTATCTATCTACCCCTAAGCCCCCAGGTGACCACCATTCCTCCAGAGTGACCGATCGACTGATCAGTCTTATGTGCCATGCAATCACAGGACTCTCAGCGGTTCACAAAATAAGAATGCACAACAGAGTATGAAACGTAAGCGTGGACGAAAGAGAACCCCGCTGCAGATTGCTTCTGCCATGCAGGATTCTCCTGGCGCTTCTGTCATCTCACACACTCAGAAAAGTCTCCCCAGTGCCAGCTGGGTACCATCACTCAGAGCCATTCCTATGTTTTCTTTTCTTTCATACAGAATCATCTGAGGTAATGCTACAGTGATTTTCATACCTTCCTGTACCTGTGATGGAATGGAATTATGAAGGCCAAGCTCAGGGAGATAAGCATTTTCTTAGCTCTCTGGAACCGCGTGGGAGGAACAAAAGGATGAGACTGGCACCTCCCTGAGGAATTCACACTGTTGTGGCTGGAGGACTTTGGGAACTGGGGTTTTAGTCTGGGAAGATTAATGTCAGACCTGTCAGGTTCGGTCAGCACGAGGCTTCAGGGAAGCA